ACCGGCAGTGCCGCCAGTGCGAAACCAACAAAAAAGAGAGTCTTTACACAAAAAGAGTTCCAAAGGAGCTGACCACCAAAGTGAGGAAAAAAGACTTCTGCCTATCTAGAACAAAGAGTTAAAAAAAAAAGAAAAAAAAAAAGAACCTTGTTTGGACTCAGGAGTGCATCGCAACATGGCCGGAGGTCGGCGAAGGACGGAACGGAATGGACGCAAAACTGCCAGAACATACAAGCAGGATGATACCAATGAGCGAAGCTGCACCGCACAAACTATTAGGAGGGAGGCGGTGATACCGGGTATGGGAGAGGAAGAGCATGGGGAGGAGGAGGAGGAGTCAGATGATTGAAGAAGAAGAAGAAGAAGAAGAAGAAGAAGAAGAAGAAGAAGAAGAAGAAGAAGGAGAAGAAGAAGAAGAAGAAGAGGGAAAAAGGGTGAGACCACTTGCCAATCATCCATGCATTTCACAGTTCCCAACGAAGCACTTGCATCATCAAGTTGCATGGGCCTAATCATGCTCAAAATGCGCACATTCCCCACCGCGTGTGCCTGGCTAAACCCCAGTATTGATCAAGGGGCTGTCCTAACTCCCACATCCACTGCACAACCCACACTGAGCAGCAAGAAGAAGAAGAAGAAGAAGAAGAAGAAGAAGAAGAAGAAGAAGAAGAGGAGGAGGAAGAGGAGGAGGAGGAGGAGGGGGAAGAGGAGGAGGAAGATGTGAAGAATGAAAGGCCGGTGTAGTGAACTGAGATTGGGAAAGAGATGTGGAAGAGGTGAGGGAGGCGGAAGGGAGGAAAGAGGGACAAGGAGATTGAAGAGGAGGAGAAGACCCAGAAGGGGAAGGAGGTAGATGCCCTAGAGGGAGAAAAGGATCTCAAGGAAGGGGAGGAGGGGGGAAAAGGAAGAACGGGAGTGGAGGGGGAGGAGGGGCAGATAGGAGAAGAGCAAGAACGGAGAGAGGACTAAGACGAGAATGGGGTGAGTGAACCGGAACAGGGGTACAAAGAACTTGAATGAAGACAAAGCAAGCTTGAAAAGGGGGAGGAGGAGAAGGAGGAAGAAGAAGAGGAAGAGAGGCAAGGGGAAATTGGGGAATGGCAGCAGGAGAAAGCAACCATCCAATGGGAGCAAGAGAAGAAGAGGTGATGTGGGATGAAGTACCTACCTAGCTGTACAACGGTACTACAACCTGTCGTTTCCTTGGTAAGCAAAGCACAACGTGGCGACTCGCGAGCGATAGGAAACAAGGAGGTTCCCCCCCCCCCCCCCCCCCCCCCCCAAAAAAAAAAAAAAAAAAAAAAAAAAAAAAAAAAAAAACAACAACAACAACAACCTATGCGGTCGGGAGAAGAAGAAGAAGAAAGAAGAAGAAGGAGAAGAAGACCGCATAGGTCTTCTTCCTCTTCTTCTTCTTCTTCTTCTTCTTCTTCTTCTTCTTCTTCTTCTTCTACGCGGTCGGGAGAACGCCTACGTGAAGGGATAACCTTGGGAGAGGTGCGCTCAAAATCGAAGCAATCTTGGGGGAGAAAAAAGGGGGAAAAAAAAGGGGGGGGAAAGGGGGAAAAAACGGGGGAAAAGGGGGGGGAAATGGAAGAAAAAAGGGGGGGAAAAAAGGGTCAATCTAAGTCTGGATTGTAGCTGACCGTCCTAATATTAGTCCATTGCCCTCCTCCCGCTCTACCCCCTATCCCCACCCCCTCAAAAAAAAAACAAGGCTGCCGTTTCTGATCGACAAGGGGTGCCGCGCGTGGTTAATTGTTAACGTCAACTAAAAAGGCTGGCTTTCGTTGATGACAGCGCAACTGTCACGGGGCGGCCATTCAGACATAAAACAATCACACACCCAAAAGAAAACAAAAAACGAAGAGAGAGAGAGAGAGAGAGAGAGAGAGAGAGAGAGAGAGAGAGAGAGAGAGAGAGAGAGAGAGAGAGAGAGAGAGAGAGAGGTGTCTAACACCCAGTTTCTAAAAATAGATCTCTGCCTAAACTTCTCTCAGACTGATGATTTCCAGCGTGCAATCATGGAAGCTTCCTCTGAGACTTCGTAAAGAATGGTACATGACTCACACACGACCTTCCGGTCGGGATGCTTGAGGTAAGGTCGGGACGACGATACCGATATCCCGGTCCTCCTTCTGAGACTCATCAATCACATGTCCCGACAGCGGAACCCGTCGGGACCCCGTTCCTTCTTTTTCACTTCATTTACAGAGTTGTAGAAGTTGATGTCATCATTAACCACTTGCAGCGACGATCATCGCAAAAGATACTTCATCGAACTCTCTCTCTCTCTCTCTCTCTCTCTCTCTCTCTCTCTCTCTCTCTCTCTCTCTCTCTCTCTCTCTCTCCCCCCCACACACCCCCACACAC